CTGGCTGTGTGACCCCAGTCTGGACCTCATTTTCCCAGCCACAAACTGGGAGAAGGCTCCCATGACAGTGCCCAGGTCCCTCCAGGCATGCCCAAAGGACCCCCAGGTCAGCACCTGATTTGCTCCCTTCAGTCCAGTGACACCAGCGCTTGGACACAGCTCTGTTGGTCTCCCGGGGTAAGGCTGGGTCCCTGGCTCCCGATGCTAAGGCCAGCAGCATCCAGGGCCAGCATCCAGCAGAAGCGCAGCACTGACCCCAGGGGTGGGGAGGGGGCTCCACTCAAGGCCAGGCGTCCTGGCCTGTGCTCCAGGGCCTCAGCACAGAGCAGCCCTGGGAAGCGACACAGGGCCCAGCTCAGGTTAGGGGAGATGCCCTGGGTCCTGCCATGGCCAAGAGCACCAGCTGCCCACCCACGGGGAGAGCACCTTTTGCCCTAATGGCACAGGGCAAGGCCTCAGGGAGGTGCGTGGGAGATGGCCATCAGCATCCCCCAGGCAGAGCTGGACAGGGCAGAAGGGGGGGGCTGGGGCCAGGGGCTGAACGCAGTGGGGAGCTCAAGGAGGACCCAGGACAGGAAGGGCCTTCACTGCGCCAGGACGGGTGTGGCCAGGGTGTCTTCAGCCCCTCAGGTGTGGACCTGGGGTGGGAGGACCCAGAGCCTGCTGCAGGCCTCGGGGTCTTTCACTGTGGCCTGGCCTAGCTGTGTGTCCAGCCAGGTCCTGCCCGAGCCACAGGCCGCTCAGGCCTATCCCTTCAAGTCCTGGCCCCAGCCCCCTTCACCCAAAAGAGGGGTGACCAGGAGGAGCAGGGGGTGTTAGGGGAAAGCCTGCTGGCCTGACATTCCAGTGGTGGAGACAGGACATCGGTCAAGGCCACAGACACAGGACAGAGCAGGAACCCCCAGGCAACAGCAGGCCCTTGCAAGCCCCCAGCGGCCACCGGGCCCTCAAGACAGTGGGCGTCGCACCGATGTGGGGGAGGGTGGAGGGCTCCACTGCCGGCCCAATTTTTCTGTAGACCCCAGACTCCTCTAAATACTAGAATCATTTTTTAAGTATTTTTTGTTGTGGACGGACACAATACCCCCATGTTACTTGTTCATTTTTACGTGGTGCTGGGGTCGAACCCAGAGCCTCCCGCGTGCTGGGCCCATGCCCGGCCTCTGAGCCAGGCGGGCAATACTGACTGACTGATTAGAACAGGGGAACGGGAGAGGGGCCGACCCCGAGCCCCTCCCGGCCCCAGGGCCCTCCAGGTTCCTCACAGGCCACCTGAGAGCAGCACCAGGTCGTTCCTGGCGAAGCAGCCACAACGGCACCAGGTGGGGGCAGCAGCCTCCCAGAACATTCTGGCCTCCAGAGGCCCCCCAGCCCCCAGCTGCAAGAGGAAGACGTGGGGGGCGAGGGCTCTGCTCCCTGCCGGGGGCCTCCTGCTGCTAAGGAAGGCTGTGGCCCCGGGTGGGGGCTCCTGGAAGAACTCCCCTCCCCCAGGAGCCGGGTGCCCCTGGGTTCTCCGTGCCAGGAGGCTCCTCAGGTTACACCCAGCGGAGACCTGCAGGGGAGCCCCACGCCAGACCCGGTGGTGGGACGGGTTAGGCTTGGGCTGCCGGGGGGTCACGAGCCAGCCCTGTGGCCACCAGGCAGGACTCAGAGGACACTTCCTCCTGGAGGTCTCCTGCCTCCGGGGATGGGGCCCAGGACGGGCGTCACCTGCCCCGAGCAGTCTCCGGGTGGCCGTGTGGCACAGTCCAAGCACCCAGGATTTCAGGCTCGGGGAAACGCACCAGGAACCTGCAGGAAGTGGGCTGTGCCACTCTCGGCTGTGATCCCTTGACTTGAGTCTCCCCTCTCCCCTGTGACCATCCCATCCTGGGTGAGAAGAAGCCTCCGCCAGGAGGCCACCTCCAGGAGGAGAGCCTCGGGAGCAGTGGGAGGCCGGGAGGGAGGTGCGCCCAGCCTCTCGCCCCACCCAGCTCTGTGGTGGCCAGTTGTCTGTCACAGTTGGCCCAGCGCTGTCCTGGTTGGAACAGAGGAAGTCCTGGGTCTCCAGAGACCCCCAGTGCCAGGCAGATAGCAGCAGGAGGCCACCCGGCGCAGAGCCCTGAGCACTTCTGGGCCTCCGGGCATGGCTGCAGGGACCGCAGGCCCCGAGGTCAGCCTGCCCCTGGACCCCAGGCACACTGGCTGCACAGGACACTGGTCCCCACCTCCCTGACTGCCAGTTGGAGCTGGGGAAACCCACTGGGACCCCGATACCAGTTCCATGCCGTTGCCAAACATCCCACTGATGACCCTAGGTCCCTGACGCCCAGCTGCCTGGACACGCACCTGCAAAATGGGAATCTTGACAAACCCTCTTGTGGGGTTTCGCAAGAACTGGGATGCTGCAAGGTGTTTGCCCTCGGCCTTGTTACTGGCTGGTGAGCAGTGAGGCTCAGTGTCACTTAATTCCCATAACCACTTTGGAAGATGTTCCTGGAAGTGCCTTTTACAGAGGAGGTCAGAGAAACGCAGGCGAGGCTGGGGAGGGGCCCCCATGATACCCCTGGCTGGATTTGCACCCCACCCACAGACTGTGAAGCCGGGCCTCCTCTGCTCGGCGCCTGGCGTGTGGGTGGTGATTATGTATCATCATCTTGATCGTCATTTCTAGCAAATCAAAAACCCAGCACAATCCCACATTAGAAGCTTTTAGAAATGTCTCCTAATAGTGAGATTAGAGAAACAGACCCAAGTGGATTGGAAACAGAATGTATTTATTTTGCGGTGTAGCCGTTAAGCTGTTTATGTGTTATTTAGATCCTGAGCAAGAAACTCTGCTCTCCCTTGTATGGATTCCCCCTTGATGCAGGGCTTTGGTGGGACCTGGGCTCTGTGCCTGCTGGGGAAGGGCTGCACCCTGCCCTGCACCCCACCCTGCACCCCGACCTGTGCCCTGACCTGCACCCCGACTGCACCCTGCCCTGCACCCCGACCTGTACCCCGACCTGCACCCCGACTGCACCCTGACTCACCCCAGCCCTGCACCCTGACCTGCACCCCACCCTGCACCCCAACCTGCGCCCTCACCTGCACCCCGACTGCACCCTGCCCTGCACCCCAACCTGCGCCCTCACCTGCACCCTGACCTGCACCCCGACTGCACCCCGCCCTGCACCCCGACCTGTACCCCGCCCTGCACACTGACTGCACCCCACCCTGCACCCCAGCCCTGGGAGAATCTTGGTTGCTGTGCTGAGTTCCCGGGGGGCCTGCTGCCTCCCAGGTGAGGTGCCAACAGGGAAGGTGAGCCACGCTGCCTGCCTGGTGAGCCGCTGGGGCAGCAGGTCACACCTGGCTGCGGTCCATCGGGGGGATGCCTGGCTCTCCTGCCCTGCGTCTGGTCCACACCTTCTCAGCTGGGCTGTCCTCACCCCCATGGGGACATTTCACTTTTTAGTGACAAAGTGCTTCTGGCATCTCACAGTGGGGGCCAGGCTGCTTTTCAGCACCTGCTCAGGAGTCCCCACCTCGCTGTCCCCAGGCTGAGGACACCTGGCTCTCTTTGCCCTTTATTCCAAGCTATCTGTCAAGTGTCCAAGTGCCTGGCCCTGGGATGTGGCAGGAGGCAAGGACATCGGATGTCTGCGAGGACCCTCTGTCCAGAGGCCCGAGACCCCACCCAGCAGACCAGGTAGGGGAGGGGCGGAGAGGGCCTGAGCCGGCGAGGACACTCACCAAGAGCCTGCCCTCCAGGCTGCCCAAGCCGTCCCACCATGGTCACCCTCGGGGCCTCCTCCCACAATGTGTCCTAGTCTGTTCCTGGATTGTCCCTGCCTTCCAGGGAAGAGGATGACCCGGGCCTCACTGCCCCTTACTGCCCCAGCAGTCCCTACTGCCCCCTGAAGCCCCAGTGTGGGTGTGGCCATCGGCCATCGGCCCCCAGGCTAACCACACACAGCCCCTCCATGTTGCCTGACCAATTCCTGGGCCTCCCACTTCCAAGTTCTCTGGGCTTCCCGCCCTGCGGTGGTGGCAGTGGTGACTGTGTGTCCATGTGGGCAGCCCTCGGCAGTCCTTGGCCATCCCTCACCCTTAATCGACAGCTCGCCCACTCATGGTGACCGTCGGGCGCCCAGGCCTGCATTCCAGGGCGACCTCTCTCCAGCTCCCACTCTCCGGCACATGTCCCCAGTCCCCACCTGCAAGGCCCACCCGCCTCCCACCTCCCCAGGGCCCGTCCTGCTCCCCTCCACTCACGTCCTGACAGGATCTAACCCCTGCTCACTCCAGCCCTTTCGCCCCTTCACTTTGCTGAACCCCAAACCTGCCTGAGTCCAGCCCTTGCTGGGCACCGGTCTTCGGAGGTTGAGTCTGGCCAGCTGTCCCCTCCAGGCGGGCCTCAGACCCCAGAGGTCCTGAGCGTGGCAGGCACCCTGCCCGGCCCTGGTCCACTCACCCTGGCTTTGCTGGAAACCCCCGCCTCGCTCTCCCCACCCCTCCCACCAGCCAGGGGCTGGCAGGGGAAGGTGCCATGTGGGGAGGAGGGGAAGGCTAGCCACAGAGCCCTGGGCAGGGTACCGGGGACCGGGGCTTGGCCTGGGCAGCGGAGGGGAGGCCCGGAGAGGGGGCTCAGAGCGGCAGCTGAAGCCTGAGGCAGGTGCTGGGAGGCAGAAGGAACCCGGCCCACCCGCCTGCCTGCCAGTGCCTCTCTTTGGCCAGATCCTGCCAGCAGCCCTGGGGTGGGAGCCTCCCCGGCCCAGATGGTAGCCCAGGGGAGGCTGGGACAGGTGCTCAACCTCCTGCCCATCCTCACTACCTTAGCCCCTGGACCCTGACCACCGGCCCTGGTCCCCAGCCTGGCCCCACACTCATGGGGCTCTTGATCCAAGTCCTCTCTGCCGCACTGGGATCCTCCCTCCTCAACCTTCTCACCCCCCGACAAACGGTCTTCCTGCCATCTGTGAAACCCTCTTCCGCTCAGCGTTCTGTTCTCAGGAATCTAAACAGCCAGGTGATCATCCAGGCTCATGGAACTTTATTCCCAATTACCGCTACGGAACAACTGGGTGCCCATGGACAGGCGACGGAAAAGCGTGGCCCATTTATACAATGGAAAAGTATTCAGCCCTAAAAAGGAGTGGAATTCTGACTTCTGTGACAACGTGGATGCAGCTTGAGGACACTTTGCTGAGGGGACTAAGCCAGTCACAGAGGCCAGCTGCTGTGTGAGTTCACCTTTATGAAATGTCTAGAACAGTGAGTCTGCAGACAGGACCCAGAGCCGTGGTCACAGGCCAGGTGGTAGAGGGACTGCCCAGAGGGGAAGGGGTGTCCCTTCAGGGAGGTGAGGGCTGTGGAGGGGACAGGGGTGTGGCTCTACAGCCCCAAGAAGGCATGCAATGCCGCTGGGCACTGCACTGTAATGTGGGGGACCGTGAGGATGAGGTGCAGCTTGGTGGCAGAACCGCAAGAAATAAATTTAAAAAATTAAAATGGCTCACATCATGTAGGTTTCACCTCAGTAAAAACAAAGACGAAAACCAAGAACTGGGACGCGCCCAGCCCTGTTCCCCCGGCCTCTGTCCCCTCTGCTTCCTTGGCCACTCGGCCCAACCCTGGAAGGCTCCCGACTCCAGACCCCATTGCTCAGGCCTCCTCCCTCCGCACAGCCCACCCACCTGGCCTGCCCCAGGACCTCCCGTCACTGCCTGTCTCCGTCCCAAGGAGCTGGCCCAGGGGCGTCCTCACACTCGGCCTCCCCAGGCCCTTCCTTCCCCCGGGACCCCGTGCTCACCCTGGCGCTCACCCTGGCGCTTCCGTCCTGCACACCCGCCTCTCTCCCTTAGCAGAGCATGTGGCTCTGTCCTGCGTGTGTCCAGGACCCTGTCCTCCGCGGGTTCTCAGGGCTCTGCAGCTGCCCTGGCAGCCATGGCCTCTCTGAGGGATTTCTGGAGCAGCCTTGGGCTCCAGCCTCCTCCTGGCGGGCGGATCGTGCCCTTTGGGGCCAGTGCCTCCACGCGCCTCGGGGTGTGTCCCTGGTGAGGGAGTCTCTGCCCACTTGACGCCTGAGGTCACAGCTTGGGTCCCTCCCAGCACAGCGGCCCTGGAGGTCAGGGCTGGGGACAGGTCTGGAAGTAACCCTGGCCTGATCTGCCATGGCTCTCCTGCCCTGCTGTGCCCCCGGTCAGAACGTGCCCTCCCCGCATCTGCTGGCCCCCGCCGGGAAGCATCCCGGATGTGTGTCCCAGGAGCACTCTCTCAGGGGCTTTGGGCACCCCTGGCAGAGCTGAAGTGATCCAAGAACCCAGGGTGCCAGCGGTCACCAGGGACGGGGTGGGAGGAGGTGGCAGGGCCGGAGCTGGTGGCCTGATTCTGCCACGTTCCCGGTGGCACACTCCAAGCTGCTCCCCGGTGGAGAGCCGTGAGTGTCCTCCTGTCCTCATGTGCTCTGCCCGTAGGCCGCCCTTCCCCCTGAGAGCTCTGCTCTGCACCCATCGCTAGCTGAGGCTGGCGGGTGGGGGCGGAGGGCGTGTGCTGGACAGGAGGCTGCTCCACACACTGCTCTCTTGTGCACCTCCTCTCACACCTTTCCTGGAAGGGCTGGCGTGCAGGGCTCCGCAGAGAGGAGCTTGGGGCTGCTCTGGCCCTCGCTGGGGCCTCTGCAGGAGGCCCCAGCCCATGCTGCCCTCACCGGCCCTCGGGTCTGGACCTGCCAGGTGAGGCCCCAGCGCGGCCTGCAAGACCTGTGTGAACTCTGAGGGTATCGGGAGAATTCTGGGGAAACAACGTGGCAGAACCACCTTCCCACAGGTGGGGGGAGTGGACGGAGGTGGCTGTGTGTTTACTGGGCATCTGTGTCCCTGGGATAGTGGGGATCCTGGTGACAATGACAGCCAGTGGCCCTGGGAGGCGTGGAGCTACACTGCAGGGCAGGGCTGCCTCCATCAGCCCAGCCAGCCTGAGGGGTGCTGTGATCGGTCGCCCACAGAGAGACTGGGCCACAGGGCCAACCCAAGGGGACCCGACTCCAGCCTGCCTTGGCGAGGCCCAGCCATCCCCGGAGGCCAAAGCAGCCTTCAGAAACCAGGTGATGGAGGCCGCGGGGCAGGGCAGGGTGGGGGTGCCTGAGGCCTTCTGCCCCCTTCGCTCGGCACCTCCAGTTGGGGTTTTCCTGGATGCAGGGAGGAGGCCTCTGCCCATCTGTCCCTGGGGGTGAGGTCTCTGGGGCAGCCTGAGCGGGCAGTGGAGAGCCAGGGACGTGGGTGGCAGTGTGTCCTTTGCTGCCTGTGTCCCCGTGTTCTGTGGGGCTGCAGAGGCAAGGTGAGGCCCGGGTCCCCTGGGAACCTGCACCCTGATGTGGGAGGAGCCAGCAGGGCATGTGGGCCCCTCAGAGGTCAGCAGGGGAGGCCCAGGGGCAGAGCCCACCTGCTGAGAAGGGGCTGACTGTGATGGCCAGGGGCCTGGGACACTGCTCTAGACTGGCTACGGCAGCACCCTGGTGGGTGACGGCAGCAGCTCGGGCAGGTTCCCTCCCTGTGTGGGGTGGACAGGAGCTGGAGGAGGGGTGGGGTAGGACAGGGCAGGGTGGGCCTGGGTGGACATCCTGGGGGCAGTGGGACAGGAGGGGCCCAACTGACAAGGCTCCACCAGGTCCCAGGGCCAAGTGATCTGGAAGGAGGCCAAGTGAGCCCATCCCGGGCTGCACGGGAAAGCCTCGTTAAGTGTCCCAGAGACCCCCTGGGGACAAGGACCCCATAAGGCCCAGCAGCCCGTGGTGGGACAGCCACCCTGCCGAGCCTCAGTGTTCTGTCTGTGGGATGCTGTGCTCACGGGCCCTGAAGACCCTTGTGGGGCGGTACCGGGAGGGCGTGGCCACAGCCTGGTGCCAACCAAGTCACCGTGAGTGCTCACTGTCCCCTCCCCTCCACCTGAGGGTGGCCAGACGACTGCTCTCAGGTAGGGGTCCTTGCCTTTGCCTCAGCCCCCTGTTCCTAGGCAGACACCCCCAGGGCCCGGCACACATGGCCCTGCCGGACCTCGAGCAAGGCTGCAGGAAATGGCTTTCAACCCCAGGGCACAGGTCGGGGGAAGCCGGCCTCGCTGAGGGCAGCCTGGGTCCCTCCTCATCACCTTCACTCACAGGGACGGAGCGTGGGTGTGGGGCCAGCGGGGCTGCCGAGCCTCCTGGATGCAGCTGCTCACTGCCCCCTGGACACACGAACACTACTGTCTACACTGGGGAGGCACGGTGTAGACAGTGGCTGGAGCCCACTAACTGGGCTGGACTCCCTCCCGGCTGCTTGGCAAGGCCACCTGGTCCTGGCAGGGAAAGCCAGCAGGTGACCCTGAGCAGGAGTGGCTCCCCATGCTGGACACCCGAGCCTCCCCGGGGCCTGTCTGGCGGTGAGAGCCGCTGGGATCTGCTGTCCAGCAGGACCTGGGCCTCAGCCAGGCCTGGCTGCCTCAATTGATCGGGAAGGAAGATAAGGCTCCGGAACATGAGTTTCTTTTTTTCTTCTTCTTTTCAAAGAAATTGGAGAAACCTGTGGTTAGCAAATCTGCTTACCCCGCAGGAAGTTCAAACTGAAGCAGCCGGTGTCAGGGACAGGCCAGGGCCAGGGGACAGGAAGTACCTGCAGGCAGACTTCAGCCTGACCTGGAGAGCAGGGGTCACAGCGTGGCTGTCCTGCAGGACACTGGCTGTCTAGCATGGACAGCAGTGGGAGGCCAGGGTCTAGGCCACACCCCCTCCTCAGGGCCGGTCATACTGGCTCTGAGAGACCAAGCCTCCCCTCATGCCCACCAGCCCTGCCGAGCACCCACACATCCTCTGGTCCCGCTGCCTCTGGGCAGCTCTGAATTGGGCCAGCCCTGCCGGGCCCTGGTCTCAGACTCCGAACCTGGAAAGTGGAGCTTCCTGAGCCGAGCGGAACGTGACCCAAGAACCCAGGGTGCCAGCGGTCACCAGGGACGGGGTGGGAGGAGGTGGCAGGGGCAGAGGCTGGTGGCATGGTTCTGCCAGAACTTCAGGGTGTCCTGGTCGTCTTCCTGGGCCTTCCTTCCCAGAGGGCTCGGCTCTGTGCCCGCTGCCTTCTGAAGGGGGCTCCTGGGCTCGGGAACCCGCCAGCCCACCAGGACCCAGATGACGTGCCACAGGTACGAGACCTCCGCTCCCCTGTTCCCCGGGCATCTGCAGAGACCCTCCCTTGTCCCACAGCCCCTGCCCCTCCTTCCCAAGCTCTTCTCTGGCTCCTGTCCTCTGCCCTCCTGCAGGTGGCCCAGGGCCCTGGCCTCTGCTCCCTGCAAGCTCCCTGCTCCTGCGATGGTGCTGAGGACCTGCCTCGCCCCCCAGGCTTTCAGACCCTCCTGGACAGTCCCCCAGCCTGCTGGACTGGGGCTCAGGTCCACTCCTTGCTCATCATCTCTCGGGGGCACGCAGAGGCCCCAGGATCCAGCACTTGGAATACTGAGGGTGGGGAGGGTGCTGGGAGGGGCAGGAGGGCTCCGGGCAGGAGCACGGCACAGGGAGCTATGGCCGCAGCCGACCGGGGTGTTTTGGGTGAGAGCCAAGCCTTGGCCTTGGAGGGGAGGTGGTCTCCTCACCCGCTCAGCTCTTGTCCTTGGTGCCCAGAGGGTGAGTGCCAGCTGGATCAGCAGACATGGGACTCCTGAGCCAGGCACGATGGGCACACAGGGGCTCTGCACCTGGTTTTTAAATTGTGCCCTTTATTTAGAGCATGGAGACGCCGGGACCTTGCACCCAGCCTGGCCCCAGGTCCAGGTTCTCTCCACCTGGTCCCTGCCCCGCCCCCACCCACGCACCCCCCCACCCCTCACCCACGCACCCCTCACCCACGCACCCCTCACTCACGCACCTCCACCCACACACCCCACCCACGCACCCCCTACCCATGCATCCCTCCTCACCCCCCCACGCAGCCCCCCCATGCACCCCTCCACTCACCCACCCCCCACCCGCACAGCCCCCCGCAGCCCCCCCATGCACCCCACCCCCCGCTGTCCTGTGTTGGGCTGCGCCGTGAGGCAGGAACCTTCAGATGATTGGAGTGAGCAGTGGCCCTTGGGGAGCCTGTGGCCCCCTCCCCTGTCCTGAAATATAGCCTGGCGGCCACGGGAAGTACGGGAGGCCAGGGGAGCGATACTTGCCCCCGCCTCAAGCCCATTTCCTCCCAGGACCATTGCTGCGAAGAGCAAGGGTGGTCAGAGGCTGGCCGCTCTGGCCCTGGGGGAGACAGGACCCGGGCACACTTCCCCTCCTGGGACTCCATTTTCTCTATTTTATAATGGGGACGGTCGGTCTGCACCATCTGCTGTCAGCAGGCAGGTGAACCTCCCGCAGTGGGGCCAGGCCAGGGGTCCCCTGTGGGCCCACAGAGCCAGGCCCTCCCAGGCTCACTCCAGCACCCTCTCTGTTCCCAAGGGGCCTGGGGATTGACCAGCCTGACCCGGGTCTCTGTTATTGATTGATCCAGCCTGACCTGGGGCCTCCAGGGCTGTCTGTGCTCCCTAGAAGCAGAGGCAGGGGACGTGCCGCGGCTCTCACCAGAGGCTCCACTGCTCTGCCCCCCAGCCAGCTGGGGCAGCTGACCGGGCTGAAGGTGTGGCCCCTCATGGGCCCCTCCTCAGAGGCTCGCTTGGGATGCCAAGTGTCCGCTCCACTCTCGTCGGTCCGGGGTCTAGGTTCTCCCCTTGTCTTGGGTCCCACGGCATCTTCCTTTACTTTTGAAAATTAGAAAGGCTTCCGTAAGTTCTTGCCCTACCCGACCCACACCCCCAGTCCATGTGCCTTTCTATCCACTTGCCCTGACCCAATCACCCACCCCATCCAGCACGCTCTGTCTCCAGGCCGCCACCCGTCTCTCGTCCATCCACCTATCCACCCCAGCCCCCAGCCCCCAGCCCCCAGCCCCACCTATGCCATCTTCCATGCACCATTCCCTCACCCACGGTCCTCCACCCACGCATGCACCCTCCTTTACAGTTAGTCACCACAGCCACTTCCCAGCCTTCCATGATCATTCAAAGAGCCACCCACCCACCCACCCATCATGCACCCACTACCCACCTGGCTGCCTACCATCTACCTTCCTCCCCGCTGCCCACCCACACGCCCATCACCGTGAGGATTCCCTGGACACCCACCTGTTGCGTCCCACACCTGTTCAGGCCCCAGGTTCCCTAACAGGCTCACAGGTGACCAGGGCTCCTGAGCTCACATGTGCGGGAACGACATCAAGGTCAAGGCCTCAGAGATGAGCATTAAGTGGTGAGCCCCGAGGATCCTAACCAACACCGGACGCCGCAGGAGGAGGCGCTCTGCACGTGTGCGAGTGGCTGCGAGGCTCACGGGCAATCAGCCATGGGCCAGGTCGGGGCGGGTCCTGGGGATGGTTGAACTCTGGAATGGAAACAGGGTTTGTCCAGAGGAGGCCAGAGGGGGAGTTCCGACTCATGCAAGCCGTTGCCGGGGGTCCTCGAGTTTTCTTCTGCCGTGTGAATCTTCAAGGAGGAGCTGAGGCCCCATCTGGGCCTCGTGCTGGGCTGGTGCAGGTGCGGCAGGGCAGTGTGGTCAGGGCCACTCAATCATGTGGCCTGGCCAAGTGACCCCACCACAGTGCAGGCGAGGGGACTGGAGGGTGAAAGGAGCCCTTCCGCTGCCTCCCTGGGTTTGGATGGACTTTGGGGACCAGGAGCTGAGCGTCACAGCAGCCCGGGTCTCTGGTCGGGGCTGCTCTGGCTGGGCTGTGAGGGCAGCCGTGACCTGAGATGAGGTAACAGACGACAGCGCCATGTTCTCCCACCCAGACCCTGGCGCGCAGCGGGGAACAGCTCCTGCAGGTGGTGGTGGGGACTCGTGCCCAGACACCGGCCTGGCTGCACGGATGCTGCGTGTTCCTATGCAGGAGGACACCAGAGGCAGCCCCGGACTGTCCTGACTGGATTTCTGTTCAGCCACGTCCCCACCCAGGCATCGACTGAGAACTATTTCCTAACCCAGTTACAGAGCTTCATCGGACCCCCAGGATGCTTCAGTGTTGTCTCCAGCCCCTTCCTCCCTCACATGATGGAGAAAGAGCTGACCAGACCCAGAGAGGGACTAGGACTTCAGTCTCTGCTCTGTGCTTCTGAGCTGTGTGACCTTGGTTGTGTGGCTTGACCTCTCGGAGCCTCCTTTTCCTCAACTCTGAAGTAGGGAAGATACCAGCACTCACCCCTAGAATGCGGCAGATCCGTGAGGGAAAGCGTGCTCACGGCCCTGCACCCCAGGCTCTGGGGAGGGCTCCCTGTGGGCCCCTCTCCTCTTCACCGTCCCTCCTCATGGAAATGGCGTGTCCAGCCCACCCAGACCCGGCAGAGCCGGATGGGAGGGGTCTCGAACCCCTGCAGGTTGTGTGGAAGCCTTAACCTCAGCTACACACTCAGGACCATCCAAGGGAGAGTCTCGAGGAAGGAGGCTGCGGCAGGACAGCGAGGGCACCCAGGTCCTGCACAAAGAAGCCTGGCCAAGATCATTGTCTACGGAGCAGACCCCAGCACCCAGGAAGCCCGCGCAGCCGCAGCCCGGGCCCGGGGAGGAGGAGTGTGGGTGAGGAGAGGTGCTGGTGGGCACAGGAGGGGCGGCCTGGGCACGTCTGGACAGTCACAGGTCCCCGCAGTGCCCCACTGCCCAACCACTTCCGGCCTCCCCTTGCCCATCCTTGGCTGCACCTCCACCTGGGCTGCAGGTCCAGTGCTGAGGGCCTCACCTCTGGGCCTGCTGGCCTCTCTCCCCGGCCTCCTCCTGGCCCCTCCCTGTGTCTGACGTGCCACCCGCCCCAGATTCTGCACGGTCCTGTCCCCTTCAGGGTAACCCAGAGGGCAGACCCCCATGGCACCTGCCCTGTGCCTGATGCCGTTCCAGAAACTTCCACACGCATTACCTCACTCCGTCCTCGGCCGAGCTGCCCCTGCTGGAACTGCAGTGGGCCTCGCTTTGCAGGAGAGGACCTCAGAGCCCAAGAGAGCAAGGCCCGTGGGCCTAGAGAGGGGCGGCGAGCCCAGTGTGTCCAGCCAGGCCAGGAGGTGAGGGCCGTGTTCCAGGGCATCTCCAGCCTGCACCTGTGTGAGCAAGTCCAACACCACTGGGCGGTGGGATGGGGGACAGAGCCTGCTGGGACCCGGCCCTCCTCTCAGTCAGAAAAAGACCCCAAAGACCTGGGGGAGGGGAGCCAGCAGCTGGCCGGGAACAGACGCCGCCTGGACAGCGAACCGGTCACCTGCAGCAGCACCCAGCACGTGCCAGTGTGTCCAGGTCAGGCGGGGCCTCGTGACCTTGGCCACTCCTGCCCATGCCACATAGCCCTGCTGGTTCTCACTGGGACTGCGGGGGCTGCAGGGCTGGGACATGTGTCCATCCCGAAGCGCTGGCCTGGTCCTTCTGTCCTCATAGCACTGTCCCTCAGTACACGCCACCGTCTTTAGGGGGTCTCAGCCTCCTCTGTCAGGAAGAGGCTTCCCAAGAGCCCTTAGTCCAGAGAAACGACCCCGTCCCTCCTGTGGAGTGCCCTCCCAAGTCCCAGCTCAGGTCCAGGGCGTCCTGCTTCCTGTGCCTGCAGGGACACACCAACCAGAGACTGTGTAGAAAGAGGGTCTTGCAGATGTGATCAAGGGGAGCCTTGGGCAAGGACCCAGGGGCCCAGAGCCCGTGGGGGCGAATCCGGACTTTGGGCTCCAGGCAGGGAGGGAATAAACTTGCGTGCGCTGTTCCAAGCCTCTGGTTTGGTTTTGATTTGTCACAGCAGCCACCGGAAATGGATCTACCTCCGCAAGAGGGTTCTGTGGGGCTCTGGAGGGGAGGCTCAGAGAGGCAGGGCAGCTCCCCCAGGGACGCTCAGCCTGCACATGACGAGCCTCTCCTCTGTTGGGGCTCCTGGGTTTGCAGTGTGCTGGACCCCGTGCCATGTGCCCTCCCTGCCCCTGAGTTGCTCCTTCCTCTCTGCTGCCCCCACTGTGCCAGCGGCCCTCCACTTGGGCACAGTCCAACACCCTGCTCATATCATGAGAAATGGGCCAGGGGCAGGCTGGAGGGCGCAGGGTCAGTACCCATGGTGGGACCTTGGGGCAGAGGGTGGTGGGCAACTCCCCTCCTTTGTGCCCTGTGAAGCAGTGCTGGGTGGGTCCTGCGAGTGGCCCCTCCCTGCAGAGGCCCCGCAGTGAGGAGCCCGCTGCCCTCTCCGCCCCGCCCAGGAGGGGCCAGTGCAGGTCTCACGGGTTCAGCTCCCTCGGGCCCCCTCCCTGCTCCCTGCTGCAGAGGCTGCGCCCCCGCCCTCCCAGGGCCCCACCTGAATTCTCAGCGCACCAGGACTCCTGCGTCACCCTGCTCCTCCAGGCCGGGGCTCCCTCCTGCCGCGGTCTGAAGGTGGAGGAGAACGGGGCTCCGGGTCCTGCTTGTCGGTCCCTTCCTCCTCGAGCTGTGGCGGGTGGCTATGCCGGGGGGCAGCTGCCACGCCAGGGTCACAAGTGCCAGAGACTCTGGGGGCAGCACTGGCGTGATGCAGGGGCGGGAGATGGTGGGCGGGGGACTTCGGATGCTGGTGCAGGGGTGACGGTGGGAAGGGAAGGGGGACGGTGAGTGTGGGGCAGCCTCCAACTTTGGTGCCCGGGAACCTCTCAGCCAACGCGGCGGCTGGGGGCAAAGTCTGCTGTGAACCCAGCGTTGGCCGGGCTCGGGCATGGCTGCAGCTGCCCAGAGGACCATGGCCTTCCCTCAGAAGCAAGAGCAAGTCCCGTGGGCATTGTGGCTGGTAACGGTGGCTCTCCACACAGGCTGTCTGTGCAGAGCCATCTGGAAACAGGTCCCCCCTATGCCTGCACTCGGGTACCTCGGGTCGTCATTACTGCTTCTAGGAGCCCCACCTAGAACCGGCACCCTGGCACTGAGGGCCAGCTCTGGAAGGGCACCTTGAGCCAAGAATGGGGGAGACCCTGGAGACTGCTGTGGTCTCCCAAGGCCTCTTCACCTGGTGCCCCTTGGAGCGGCCTGCTCTGCACCTCCTGGCTGGGCTCCCTCCTGGTCCCGGGGAACCTGAGCCCATCCAGCTTTCTGCAGCCTCCAAGTTTCCGGGGTCACCCCTCCCCTCTCCCTGGAATTTGCTGGCTCAGCACCGTGGGGGAGTGGAGGAGGCCTTGGGTTTCTGCCTTGCAGGGAGGGCGGATGGGAGGTCAGGTTGGAAAGGCATCTGGCCAGCTCTCCTCCCGAGGCTGGGGGAGACTGGGGGAGGCTGGGGGGAGGGCAGGCAGCAGAGTTTCCGCCTTCTCTGCTGCTGAGACTGCAGCCACAATGGTAGCCATTGGGCTGAAGTAGGTTCAGCCTGCTGAACCACCAGGATGCTGGTGATGGCCACCAGGGTCACAGGCCAGATGTGTCTAGGGCCACATGCTCGCCCTGCTGGCCTGAGCCTGCTGTGCCACTTGCTGGCAGCTCCAGGGCTTACCATCCCACTGCAGCCCCACGGGGGCCAGTTCTTCCCTGGGCCTGGCCTGCACGGCCTGCTTCCACTCCCTGGGATCCGGATCTTGGAGGAGGGGCTGCCCTCCCCCAGAATCTCCTCTGCAGCCCCCTCCACAGTGACTTGGGACTGTGAGGAAGAGGAAGGAAATGAATGTTGGAGAAGCCTTGGCCGTGGAGGCTGCAGTGCCGCGAGGTGTCCCACGTGTGACTGGCCACAGGGTGCAGTTTCCCTGCAGAGCTGGCCTCCCACCAGGGCCTGGGCGTGCTTTGTTCTGGTGAGGAAGAGGACAGAACAGACTCTGCAGCAGAGGTGGAGGAGACCATAGACACCCCGCTGGGCTCCAGCATGGCTGTCCTTGCCACGTGCTACCCCTCCGGCATGTGGACTGAGTTTCCAGTTTGTGGTCCTTGCCTTCCAGCTCAGGATGGAGGCAGGGCCTGAGCTGATTCTTTCCAGTTTCCCCAGAGCCTGGGAGGGCCTATCCTAGAGCAGGAGGCCTGGACATGAGTGTTCAGTGGACTGATGGGTGGGTGGGTAGATGGATAGATGAGTTGATGGGTGGATAAGTGGATGGGTAGATGGAGGGATAGATGGGTGGATGGGTGGATGGATGGATGGGTGGATGGATGGATGGGTGGATGGATGGATGGATGGATGGGTGGGTGCAAGGATAGATGGATGAATGGATGTGTAGATAATTTGATGAGTGGATGGGTGGATGCATGGATGGATGGATGGATGGGTGGATGGGTGGATGGGTAGATGGGTAGATGGACAGATGGATGGGTAGATGAGTTGACAAGTGGATGGATGGATGGGTAGATAGAACAATGGATGGGTGGATGGGTGGGTGGATGGGTGGATGGGTGAGTAAGTGGATGGATGGGTGGGTGGGTAGATGAATGGCTGGATGAGTGGTGGTGGATGGGAATCCTGGGCTTTCAGGCCACTCCCTCTCACAGTGCTTGGAGTAGGGGCTATCAGCTGGTGGGGAAGTGAGGCTGGGTGTGTGTGTGAGTAGGAGTCTCACATACTCTCACCCACAACAGCAAGCAGTGTCCAAGAACGTGTGCCTCCCACTGTGGCCGTCCTGGGAACTGGGGAGTGGGCTCCTGGCAAGCTCAGGCTAATGCTGTCATCAGTGTTCCTGAAAGTCGTGCTGGGGCCTTTGGAGTTTTCCTTGGCCATCTGGGAAATTATGTGGTCATATTTGTGGTTAAGAACAAAGCCCTCGAGCTGGGGCTGTGGCTCAGCGGTAGAGCGCTCACCTAGCATGTGCGGGGCCCTGGGTTCGATCCTCAGCACCACATAAAAATAAAATAAAGATGTTGTATCCACCTAAAAAATAAATATTAAAAAAAGAACAAAGCCCTCCCCATCCCCAAACTGGGACAGGTGGCAGGGAGAGAGGACAAAGTCAGGGCCCCCTCTGGGAACGCCACGGGAGGCTGACTGGGGCAGACTGTCTTTCTTTGGCACAGTGCCCTGTCCCCTCCACTACCCTGTCCCTCCCACAGCTGGTGTATAGTCTCTGTCCTGGTGTGCCCAGCAAGACCCAGAGGGCCCTCCAGACAGCTTAGGCACGAGGTCTTTCCTCTCATTCCCCAGCACAGGGCAGACGCTCGGGGTGATCTACTGAGGAACAGGGTCCCCCTCTGCTGACAGGGGCCTGAGGCCAGCTCGAGTGAAGTCATCTCCAACTTGTATGAACACTGAGGCTGGTCCTGGAAGTTAGGACCCAGTTCCAAGCCTGCTGGTCCCCCCCCCCCACTCTGCTGGTCAGTTTTGTGTGTCAGCTCAGCCAGGCTCTGGTCTTGAGAGGTCCTTAGGAGGCCAGCCTGGGTGTTGGCGCGGGGCCTCTCCCCGGACCTGCTACTCCAGCCCACCCACACGGAGGTAGTAGGACCAGCCAGGCCTGGCCTTGAGGACAGTGGCTCAGGGCCGCATGAGGGTGGGGTCAAGAGTGCAGGCTGCAGTGCCTGCCCAGGCCAGGCTCCAACCCCAGCTTCTCCGCTTGCTAAGTGTGACCACGGGGACAGTCGTCACCCCCTGCCTACATGTAAGCTGCAGACCAGTGGCACTGGGATGTGAGTCAACGCAGGCAAAGTGCTGGGCGCCGCAGCTGGGGCATGCTGGGAGCCCCTGAGGAAGGGCTGTGTCCGCCTGGTTATAGTACAGTAGGAAGGACGTGTCCGTGACACAGGACAAGACCAGTGATGAGGACTGGCTCACGTGATCCCAGAGGCCGCCAGGGCCCAGGGTCTGCAGGGGAGCAGGCCCAGGACAGCTGCAGGCACAAGCTGCAGTCCCCGCTCCGCACTCGGGCAAGATCCCACTCGGCTTTCGGTTCTATTTGACTTTGGCTGACAGCATGTGGCCTGTCCACTCTGGGGAGGGCCGTCCACTTTACTCACTCCACCAACTTGCGTGTCGGTCTCGCGGAGACACACCCAGAAAAATACCCGCCGGCTGTCTGGGCACCCACAGCCCAGTCCTGGGGAACAGTTGCCACCCCTGATGCAGGTGAGAGTCTTCGCCACAGTAAGGCTCGCCCTCCTGTAGACCCAGCCCTTGCCCTGCTGAGCCCAGTTGCCCTGACTACACCAGGAAGGGTTGGTGTGCTCGGGCACAGACCCTGGCTCCCCTGGCCGTTGGCAAAGGGCGCAGCCGCCGCTGTAGGGTGCAGAGAGGCCCAGAGGCACAGCAAGCACCAGACACGCTTGGCTGCGACAGCCCCTGCTCCCGGCTCCTCAGCTCTGTCCCCTCCTGTGTCCTGGGGAGGCCGGGAGTCTGGAGCTGTGTGTGTGTGTGTGTGTGTTTGTGCGTGTGTGTGTGCGCGTGTGCACACACGTGAGGGTGACGGGTGAGCAACTCCCCTGGATCTGTGAGCCCACCTCGAATCCCTAGCTGGTTATTTTGGTTATTTTGACCCAGACTTGAACTCCACACTTTCCAGTTCACTAACCTTGTTTAAAAAAAAAAAAAGGTGGTTTCCTGAAATGATAATCTCACAGGAGCTGGCGGGGGGCGGCCTGGCCGGACTCAGGCCCTGGCAGCCAGGAACAACTGGCCTCGAGTCTCTGGAGAGTTTCAGAAGAAACGCTGGGCGCAGCTGTGGGGAAGGGTGGTGTGGCCGGTCCCTTGCTCTAGGTGGACCCCCGTCAGGGCTGGTGAACCCGCAGCTCCTGGACGGGGCCCGTGGAGGCAGGAGTCAGTTAGAAGGCAGGAGGCCGGACCCATGGGCCTTGCTGCTGAGGTGGCACCTCCCACTGCCAAGTGACCCTGAGCAGTGGTGTCACTGGATCACTGACCCCCGTCCCCATGCTGAGGGCAACAGGAGATTTTGGAGGTGCCAGACTGAGCTCCGAAATGGCCGAGCCAGGACTTGACCTAGGGTGGCTGACCCCATGCCTGGGCCCGTTCCTGCATCCGGGAGGCCCTGTCCATCCAGGGGTTTCCCTGCAGGATGTCCTGCTGTCTGCACGGAGCTGGGCCACCTGTTCCCTGGGATGGAGCACCTGCCCCTGCCCTCTGCCCTAGTCTTGGCTGAGCTCTCCATAAAGCAAGCAGTGGGTGCTGAGGGCTCATCCGGGAGCCACAGTCTCAGGACAGCACAAGAGAGGCAGGGAGGGGGTCAGGGAGACAGGGAGCAGGGCAAGGGGTGCGTTCCTGGGGAGCCACTGTCCCCATGGGCTGCCAGGGCTGGAGGCATGCAGGCAAGCTGTGCCTGGAATCCCCATCCTGTACAGGAGACAGACAGGCCCTTGGCCAGGGTCTGGACTTGGTGGAAGGACCTGGGGATTCTGGGTAGAGGGCAGGTTAGCCCCAGGCCACATGGCCACAGCCTGCTGGCCAGCAGCGGACCCTCTATGGTAGCAGCAGGTCCAGGAGACGGGTGTCCAGGCTGACTCCTGCTCAGCCTCCCTGGTACAGCCGACCTGCAGTGGACTTGCTGTCCAGCTCGTTCTTCCAGAGCCGGGCTCGCCCCCCCCAGAGCACCCTGCTGTCTGGAAGCAGCCCCTCACACAGCAGCACCGCTGTCCTGGCTGTAGCCCACCCCAGCAGAGCCCTGGGCAGGCTGGAAGGTTCTGGGTGGCACGCTCTGTGGCTCGATGCTGGCTGGTGACCAATAACCATCAAATAAGAGGATGAGCTCAGGTGACCTTCCCAAGACAGCATTTAGACCGCACTGGGCCTGCCTGGGGCCTGCACCCCTCCCCTCTGGTCTGGGCAAGACCAGCCTTGAGTCCAGCATCCAGAGGGCCGGTGCCGCTGTGCACCATGCACACACAAAATGCCACACTCACACACAGCATGCATCACAGTGCACACTCACACACACACACTCCCTGCCACAGCACGGGGACATGTGCACACACACACACACACACACACTCACAGGGGGAGCTGGTCTGAGGAGGCATAGCCAGGCCTGGCCATCTCACTCTCCGAGCTGTAACTGTGGCTTCTGCTTCTGAAAGGGGCATGGTGACAAGGCCAGGCAGATGCACGGCACCAGGAGAGGACCTACGCCCTCCACACCCCTGTAACTCCCAGGAAAGAGGGCCGCTCCTGGTCCTCCAGCCTGCAGAGCCTCTTGCGGCCAGTGCTCTCTGTCCATGACGGTGTTGAGCAGGAAGGGGCAGCTCAGGAAGTCACGGCAGCCCAGGCTGAGCTGGCCTGTGGCAGTGCCGGACACTCAGCCACCTCCCGAGGAGACAGGACAGAGCTAACCGGGTGCTGTGTCCAGGCGGCAGGTGCTGGGTTGGGGTGGTCTTTTGAGATGCAGGTAGATTCTGGATGGAGTGGAGGCCTGGGTGTGCCTGGGAGGGCACCCTGACCCCAGAGCGGAGACAGTAACAGGGCTGCCCTCACTCCCTCGGACCTCCTGCTCAGGGGTGGAAGCCCAGGGGCCTGTGGGGGGGGCAAGAGGGGCAACTCAGTGCCTCATTAAGAGAGGATTTCTACCCAGCTTCCAGCAGGGTGGTCAGCTGACAGCCTCCCGCTGCGTCCAGGATGAGTAGTGTCCCCCCCATTCATGTCCACCCAGAACTTCAGAAGCTGACCTTGAAGTAGGGTCTCTGCAGATGTGGGTCTCCCTGGCCCAGGGTGAGCCCTGCATCCAAGACAATGTGCATGAAGACAAGATGGACATGCAGGGAGGGCCCAGGGCAGGGGGGGCAGGACCGAGGGTGTGGCCACAGCCAGGGACACCAGGATGCCCGGCGGCCACGGCAGCCTCTGGAGGGAGTGTGCCCTGCCCACCCCGTGGTCCCGAGCTTGCAGGCTGCAGCACTGTGGGGGTCAGTTGCTGCTGTGGACCCGCCCACTGGGCCCCCCATTACGTGTGGCTCCCAAGCTTGGGGACAACCCAGATGGGTCAGCAGCCACTGACCAGGTGACAGGCCCTCATTCTGCCAGGTGTGTTTTCCTGCCCTCCTGTCTCCTGGGAGGGCCTGGTGGCAGGCAAGGTGGCCCTAGAGAGAAGCTCCAGGTCCCTCCTGGGCTCCTCTTCCCCAGTAGGTCCGTCCTGGGAGGACGTGGGTGTCGGGGCCCCCGGGCCTCTGGGGATGGACGGGCCTTCCACACACTGTCCTCCAGCCAGGTGCCCGATGGCAGTCAGGGACTGGGGTGGGGGCAGTGGCCACAGGGGCTCACATTCCAGAGGTACGTCCAGTCTCGGAGCCACGGCCCAGGGGGCAGTGGCCCTCAGGTGGCCCAAGCGCAGCAGCTGCTGTTGGACTCACCCACCTGGGAGGACTCAGGTGAGGAAGGGGCTGCTGCCACGGCCTCTGTCCAGCCTCACTGAGTCTGGGGACCCTGGCAGGGAGACAGCTTGGGGACCCTGTTCTGAATGAGGAGCCCCCAAGGCCAGGAACATGCAGGGGGACTGGCTCAGCCCAGGGTGTCAGCAGAGGCCGCCCTGAGTGGTACTGATGCTGGTCTTGAAGGTTGAGCTGGAACGTGACACATGAGGGAAGGTCACTGCAGACCCTCCCTCCACACTGAGGCCAGGCATGGGGACAGCGTGGTGACCGCTTAGAGGGCTTGCTGGGTCCCGCCCCCAGGACTCCACTTGCATCTTGTGACAGGTGATTCTTTGTGTCAGCTTGACTGGGCCACAGGATGCCCAGATATTGAGTTAAAAATTATTTCTGGGTGTGTCTGTTTCTGGCTAAGGTAATATTTGAACCCTGGACCTGGCAAAACAGATGGTCCTCCCAGGGAGGAGGCCTCGTCCAGCGTGTGGGTGGACACTGGGACTGGCCTCCGTGGGGGCGTGGGCCGCTTCCTCACCCTGGGTCTCTCTCCACAGCCACACCACGGCTACTCTCCTGCTGTCCTTCTTCTCTGGGGAACTCTGAGTGACAGGGTGGTCATGACGTGGAACACAGACAGGATGGACGCTGAACCTGCCCACTCCAGGGCCCTGATCAGCCCAGAGGGGGCCTGAGAGTCTGGTTTGGGTATTCTGCAGCTCTTGTTGGAGTGGACGACCAGACACATGGCCAGTCTCCCCCACCCCTGAGCAGGCAGCAAGGGCCGTGCGGGGAGCGTGGGGACAGGGCCCCAGGTCAGTGGAGTAGATCCCTGTATGTCCAGAGAGGACCGGCTCTGGGTGTGCTCAGGGCAGGATGTGAGGTAAGTGTGTGTCGTCTCAGTGTCCCTGTCCTCGGTGGCCACAGAAGCTCTGTGGCAATGGCCCAAGGAACTCCACACCTGGAGAGGGCAGCTGCCTGCAGACCCTCCCTCTATACTGAGGCCTGGCTCGGCCATCAGGAACCTCCAGACTCTGGTGGGAGGCCTGCCGCACCATCCTCTGAGGTCACCTCCCACTTTGTGAGGGTCCTGCCCCTCCATGGGCACCTCTGAGACTTGGGCACGCAGGACCAGGGTTAGGCCGGGTCTTCTTGGGAACATCTGTGGCGTGTCTCTGTGGCAGCTTCTGAGTGTGGGCAGGGGATTGCTGGGACCCTGGGGAGACAGATGGACGCCAGGCACCAGGTCATTCACCCAGGGAGAAGCCCCTCTGCTGGGAGGGCTCCTTGGCTCTGATGGCCAGCAGGGGAGCTCAGTGAGCCTCTGAGTGCTGTGGGGTCCACAGGTGCAGAGGGTCTCGCCCTGCATAGGGCCTGGGCCTCAATAGGCACCCAGACAGCGGGGCAGGCAGGCCGGCCAGGGGCCTGCGGAATGGATGAGTGGAGGGCTTGGGGACGAGCTGTTCCTGCTGTCCATGCTGAGAATGAGGAAGGGCTCCTTCCCTTGCCCGGAGAGGCCCTGAGGGTTCTGGGTCAGCACTCTCCCTCCACAGGGGCAGGCCCCAGAGGGCATTTCTGAAAAGTCCATTTTGAAGCAATCAGCACAATGCTCTCCAGCCCAGACTCTGCCAGGGTCACAAGGACACGGGAGGCCTGCAGAGCCTGGACACTGGAGTCCATTAACGCACACCTGTGACCTGAGTCTCTTCTTCGGGCCAGTGGGCTCAGATGTGCACGGCTCTGCCTGCGGACCCTGGTGGGCTCTGTCCTCGGCCTGGATGCCGTCTTGGCTCCATCTGGTTGGTCCGGCCAGAGCTCCTGGACGCCTGGACCAGCAGAGCTCAGCACATCTCCTTTCTCAGCTCTTGCTGGGCACAGCCTGGCCCTGCACGGGGGAATGAGGCCTGGAGCAGCTGTCTCCAGGGTGCACGGGGCCGTGGGGAATGGGGTCAAGACCTGCCCTCACACACCAAGCTGTGAAGGGAGGTACCTGTCCGGGTCTAGGGCTGCTAAGGGAGCCGCTTCCCTCGCACACTTCTGTTTCATTGAAACAATGTTTCATACGCAATTTAAAAAACCAAGTCAAGCTGGACACGGTGGCACAGGCCTGGGATCCAAGCTACCTGGAGGGCTGAGGCAGGAGGACCCCAAGTTCAAGGCCAGCCTCAGCAACTTGGAAAATTAAGACATAAAAGGGCGGGGGTTGCAGCTCAGGGGTGGAGCACCCTGGGTGGGAGCCCAGCCCCACCAAGGAAGCCAGGTCACTCCCCCAGGCCCACTGTGAAAACATTCACCTTTCCCACCCGCCCTGGAGGCAGTGGCTTCCTGCTTCCTGTTTCGGTTTGGTTCTAGTGGGTGTTTTTCTCCATGTTCCGAATGGCCTGCTTGTTCTGACACAGGTTGCTCTTTCAATCTCGGGCGCCACCTCTAGAGTCCAGGCTTGGTCTAGGGCAGCTGTGCGCTGACTTCTCTCAGGGCCTTGTCCCTCGATACTCCCCACCTGCCCACATGGTGAGACCACGTGACGTGTGGGTTTGTCACTGCCCCGTGGGAACTGTGGGAACTCCTCGGTGCTGCGGAGCCTTCCACAGTGGGTGCTCTGCGGTGGTCCCTCCCGCCCTGGGCTGATGTCTGGAGCCAGGAGATGCCTACTCTGTGACAGGCGGGTTATTTGTTTAACCCTCGCTCCCTCCAGGCCCACTGCCTCCCCTGCACAAGCCCTCTCGTTCTCCTGGGGGTCCTGCCGTCCTTGGGCCCCTCTCCGTCTGTCCCCACTGCCCCAATCCTGGCCCTTGAATCTCTTTCCACTCTGTTCTGGAGGCTGCCTGCAACCTCCCGTGGGGGCTGTCTGTCTGCCAGGACCCGGGCCTGGGCTCACCCCGGGCCTGGGCTCACCCCTGCCCTGTGCCCACCGTGCAGAGCCTGGCCCCACCGTGGTCCCGTGCAGGGGCACGGGAACGAGTGCAGTGCTGAGCATGAACCAACTTGGGTGCTCTTCTCCAGGGGCCCGTCACGTGCTCTGGTCCATCCCTGCCAAGAATTCCTCTCAGTTTAAAGGGCTGGGGCTGGGGCATGGCCACGGGAGCCGTCCAGGGCTAACTGGGGAGCCCAGAAGCCAGCCCAGAGCCCAGCTGAGCCGCTCCCTGGAGCCCTGGGGCTGTGAGCTCCCTGAGGGCCGTGTGCAGAGGGACACACCTCAGACGGCTCCTAGGGACCACGGTTCCCGGTGGTGAGCTTCAGAGTGCTTCCTTCTTCCTTTATATTCTTCTCTGTTTCCTGGATTCTTTACCCCCTCTCTTTGCCTTTGTGAGGCCACGATCATCTGATATGGAAAACCGCGCATGGGGCGGCTTCCTCACTGCCTAGAACCCTGTGTCACTCCCTGGCTCCGGAGAGTGTGACCCGGTGTCTGGACAAGCTGCCAGCAGCCTCCCTGTTGCCCGCTCAGCTACCCCCAGTGGCCGGGGCCGCTCGAGCTCAGAGCCTGTGTGGCCCTGTGCCCTCAGCCTCTGGCTCTGCCTGTGCCAGGCGCTGGCCACTCCAGGCTTGGCACCACGTGATCTGGGGTCTCTTGAAGGCCCTTGCTCTCCTGCTGTTAGGACTTCCAGCCATGGCTCCCGGTCTGGCTTTTTAATGGGATGGAAGCAGTCCACTAAGTTTAGACAGGTGGCAGGTGAGTTACTGGCTAATGTACATCCCCTCGGCCAATGTGGTCCCCTGGTCCCCGACACAGGCTGGGCAGCTGTGGGAGAACAGGAAACTAAGGTAGGGACACTTTAAGGAGCAGCGAGGTCAATCTGTGAGCCTGAGTTTTGTTTCCTGTGTAAAAGACAAAATAAGCGTGTCCTGCGATGTTGCACCAGGCTCCAGTGGACAGAACCAGCTCAGAGCTGAGTTGAAATGGTTCATCTGGACACGGCACTGCTCTGTGTCTTGAAAGCAGGGATGATGGTGGAGACTGGGGGCTCTGGCCCAGCGTGGGGATGCCTGCCCCCTGTGCACTTGGGTGGGCGCAGCCCAGCCTGCCTCTCTCCCTGCCCCTGCGCCCCTCCTCCCATCCCAGTTGGAGATCTGCCCGCTAATTGGGAGCTGATTTGTTTTGCAATGATTCAGGCCTTTGCTGTTGGAGCCCTGGGAGTAAGTCTTGCTTCCAAGGCATAAAATTTCCACTCATAGTGCTGAGAGCTACAGGATTGTTGAATAACAAATACAATTAGGATGTGCCAACTTTTCCTTTGAAGTGCCAATTTTTGCTCTTCAGGGTTAAGTGCAGTTGTCCCACTTCTCTGAGGGGCATGAGTTTCAGGACCCCCAGTGGGCGCCTAAACTGCAGGTAGTACCAGACCCTATGGATGTTGTGTTTTTTCCTGTATCATAACATTTAATTACCAAATTAGGCACAGTATGAGATTAATAACCAACTTAAATGCTTTCTGGAGCAAGAGTGTTTAAGCAAAATAAGGGTCACTTCAATGCACACCCTGTGACACCAAGACATCCATCTGATAAGCAGGACGACTGCTAAGCGACTAACGGACAGGTAACATATACAATGTGGATACATTGGACACAGGAGGATTGATGACCTGCAGGGATGGAACAAGACAGGGCAAGATGCCACCCTGCTCCTCAGAATGGCATGAAACTTAAAATTTATGAATTGCTTATTACTGGAATTCTCCATTTAATATTTTCAGACCATGTTTAGCAGTGGGTAACTGAATCCATGGAAAATGAAACCTTGGACAAGGGTGGTTTCTGTACCTGTGCCTTCTCTCGGTGAGTGTTGAAAAGTTAGGAGAAGAAAACTTCAACCTTTTTACAGCTGCAAACCCCCAACTCAGGAGAGGAGCATCCAGGCCTGTGGTGGTAGAGGGTGGGCCCTGTGCCTGGTCTGAGTCGGGCCGGCTGGTCCTTTAGCTGCAGCATGGCCCAGCCCGAGTCCTGGTTGGGGTGGGGTTGGCAAACAGAGAGCAACTGATGTTTACTGAGGACCCAAGGAGACCCAGGCCCCGAGGATGCTGGCCTTCCTGTGGCTAGTTGGAGTTGGCCCTAGGGGCGAGTGTGTTTGGCGGAAGCTCTTGCAGCCTGAGGGAGAATATAGGGGGAGTAAGACCCTGCTGCTCTCAACCCCACGGGGACCAGGCCTTCAGGACTGTCAGGAGTGGAAGGGCCCAAAGGCCTATGGCAGTGTGACTGTTGGGATGTCCTTGGTGTCCTGAACAAACAATGGAGCAAGACACACAGCGGTAGCAGAGCGCAGAGGTGGGAAGGTACATATGGGTAGAGGCAAGAGCAGCCAGCGAGAGGCCCTGGGCCGGGTCTGACGGTCAGAGTCTTATATCCTGAGCCGCGGGCGTTCCCTTCCCTACAAGGACCTGATAGAGACCTGACCCATTGGCTATCTTATGATACCTAATTAGAATATTTTCCAACTCCCCCCACTGGTTACTTTAGAGAACCTAATTAGGACACTGACCACTTGACCCCCCCTTGGTCATTTTAAAGTCTGGACTGTAGCAGAGGTTGTCATGGTGAGGACCTCAGGGACGGGAGCTGTCATGGATGGGATTCAGTGTGGACGGGGACAGGACTCCCGGCCCCTGTCTTGTCCTCCAGAGCTTCTTTCTAACACCCTGCCTCCATCCGCCATCTTGGTGTCCTGTTCGTCACGTCCCAGGGCAGCCGGTGTCACCTCCTGGGGTAAGCCTAGTTCCCCAGGGCAGGGGCAGGGGTGGGTTATGGGGGACAGGGATCTGTGGGTCCACGTGGCCTGTGACCCCCGCCAGGGGCTGGGCAGGGTCTCAGGACGCAGAGGAGCCGGTTCTCCAGGCAAAGGAGCCAAGACGGGGGACAGTGAGTACATGTTATTCACTCCAAGACAGAGAGACGCAATGCCCTCTGGGCACAGAGCTGAGGGTGCAGGAGGCCAGTGTCACTGGATGAACAGTGGCTCCCTGGCCGGCTGGGGCCTGGGCCCCCCAACTTTGTGGGCTCAAGTCAGACACAGCCCTTGGCTGCCCAGTCGGGCCTTCCAGGGTGTGGCTGGGAACACAGCCCCTGGGCCACTCCTGACATCTGGGGTTCTCAGTGGGCCTGGGGGTCTGAGTGACAGCTGATGCTGTGTCACAGAGGGACCCATGGACCCCAAATGAATTTCCACCCAAGGCTGGAGGTGCTTGGGCACAGGTCTGAGTGGGGACCACCCACAGGCAAGGTGGCGGGGAGGACAGGCGGGGCTGGTGGGAAGAAGGCAGTGCCGTGCGGCAGGGGCACCTCCTGTGGGCTTATGGATGGTTACGGGCCTCAGAAGAGGTCTAGGTAAGACACGAGTCGGGGCAGGCGTGGCCACTGGGGTACCCGAGGACGCCCCCTGGTCTTGCTGCGTAGCCCCGTTAGAGGGACCCAGGGATGCATTCCCCTGTCCCCGGGCACCCAGACCCGCACGGCCCTAGGATTGGATCGTGCCTACACAGAGTGGCCCCCCCAGCCTTGACCAGCATGCCGAGGTGTGCCCAGAGCAGGGCCTGGGGGCTGGGAGCCTGGGTCAGGGCCAGGCACCCCCTCGGCCAGCGTGCTCAGTTCCTCTGTCCCCTTATGGGCTGGCCAAGCCTTGCTGGATTTGAAGATCCAGAGAGAGTGTCGTCGCGCAGTAGTCAACTCTGGGCACAGGGAGGCCGTGTAACAGACTCTCGTGCCCAGAAGCCCTGGCTTGCTCCTGAGTTCTGTGATGGCTGCTCGGGGGTGTCCAGCTAAGCAGTCACTTCAGCTCTGCAGGCACCCCGTCTGTGCCCCTCCCCATCGTGTGCTCCCCAGGTTGTGGCTCTCTGCAGGCTCCCCGGGGCTGGGGCTGCCCCTGAGTGTCGGCACAGAGCCGGTGTTGATGAATAATTAAAGATGGAAGGGAGGAGGGAGAAGGAGCGCCCCAGAGAGGACCGGAGGACAGGGGCTTGGCTCAGTGAGGAGGGAGGGCTCTTTCCGGACCCCTGGGCCGGCCCAGCCCTGGGCTCAGCTCAGCCCCTCCCCGCTCAGAGGCGGCATGGCCAGGACAGCAGCCAGGAGATGGACGGGCTGCGCGCCGAGGCTGGCTGGGGGAGGCGGCCCCTCGTGGAGTGCCCGGCTTTGCCAACTCGCTTCTTCCTCTGCCGGCAGCTGGAAGTGCTGACTGGCCCTTCCTCTGCTCTCGCTCTGATCCCGCAGCCCTGGTGTGGGAGGCAGGCTGGAGGAGGGGGGAGCAGGGCACAGGGTGTCCCAGGAGCACCTGTTAGGAAGGAGTCCCACCCCAGGATGGGCGGCACAAAAGGACTTGCTGTTATCTCGAAAAATAGGAGCCTGGATCTTAACACCTCCGAATGCCTTTAAAAGAAGTAATTGCCTGACTGCAATTATTTTAGGAGGTTTAACTAACCACCGCCTGGGCGCTTTTTAAGAATACTTGGGGAATTTTAAATTCCTCCCACGGCCCCCAAGGGTGGGGGCCCTGCCTGGTGCCTGAGGCCCATCCCCTTCTCCTCTCTGAGAGGAGGATGGGGGTCTCTGAAGGGGGCTTCTGGCGGTGAAGCCAGCTCTGCCCCAGGGGGCGGAGGCCCGTTGCCAAGGTGACATCCCCAGGCACATCCCTGTGGGCTCTGCTGGGGTGAGGGGGGCGGGGGTGGAGGAAAATGATTTCCTTGTGACAGGCGCCTGCTGAGGCCCCCTTTCCTTATTGATCGTGTGGGGAGAGGAGCTTCCTTATCAGGGCCGGTGAGCTAGAGAAGGCAGGTGTGACCTCTCACCTCGTAGTCTGCTGCCCGCCACTGCCATTGGCTTGGGAGTGACCCCCATCCTGCGCGGTCCTGGTCTGATTCAGGGAGATTTTCCAACTTCCCGAGAAACTGCCGGCTCTACCAAGGCACAGCCCAAATGCCAAAGTCAAGAGAAAACACAGCAGAAATAAACGTGCCCAGGCCCCCGGGGGCCCCGCCTGCCGCTGGTGTGGGCAGACACGCCAAAAGACTCTAGGTAACAAATTTATTTTTAAAGAATCAATCCAAAAACAATTAAACGCAATTTACGAACGTGGTAGGAAAAGATGAGCAATGAGCCCAATTAGTAGAAGTTATTTTAAATGTGTCAGGATCACGTCTTAGCCCATGCTGGATGTCATCTCGCTTCGGCATCTGGCTGCAAAGGGCGTTTGAGGAAAGACAGCCGCCCTGGGCCAGGCTGAGGAGGCCCTGCGGTCAGAGTGCAAGGGGCACTTCCCAGCCCTGGGCGGAGAGGAGATAGGTTCTGGGGAGCTGGAAGCCCTTGTGAGAGGACGTGGTGAAGGACTGGCCCAGGCTGACCTCTCCAGTGTCCACAGCCACAAGCTGGACAGAGTCAGAGGTGCCCACGGGTGCCCCAAACCCAGACCCACCTGTAAGACACATGGCTTGGCTCGGGCCTCTGCTGGGCAGGTGGGGCCTGGGGCAGATGTGCCAGGCCGCTGCCCTTCCCACTGCTACCTGCCTCTGTGGGCACGCCCCAGGCCTGGCCCCTGGGGTTCAGCACCCTCTCCTCCCAGTCCTTGCTTTCCACCATCCCGGAGCTCTGGAAGGTGGCGGTCTTTCAACAAAGAAAGAGAAAGGCCAGAGGCACGCGGGGAGGCGCCAGAGAGCGGGGACAGTGGGTGCTGCACTGTGCAGCCGGCACCGCACGCTCATCCTGCAGCGCTAGCGTCCTGGTCCCTGTTGACAGAGGGGAACCTGAGGGTTGGAGCGGCTGCGCGGCTTCCCACCAAGGACCCAGGCCAGGGAAGGGCTGCAGAGTAGGGCTCCATGCTCAGGCTGCCAAGGCCCAGGCCAGAGTCCCACACATTCACCATCTTGCTTCTGTGGGAGGTCAGTTGGCTGGACCCCGACCCTGTTCCCGGCCCCATCTGCAGGCCTGGAACTCTCCCTCAGGGTGGGCGAAGCTGGCTGAGTTCCCCCCAGAGCCTCCCCTGGCTGTCCAGGAAGGTTGTGGTAGGACGCGTGCTCAGGACCCCTCTGGTCACCGCAACAGCCCACCCGGTGGCTTCTTGCAGATCTGAGAAGCAGAAATGCCTTGGGGGAGCAGCTTGATCTGAGACGGAGGAAGACAGAAGAGGGCGGAAGGGGCCAGGCTTGAGGCCAGTGTCTCAGAGGCTCAGATCCTTGTGCCTTCTTGGGAGACAGAGTCCAGCCCAGTGATGGCCCCGGGCATGTTGGGCTGACCGGCACCAGGGGCTCCTCAGCCGTTTCCCATTGGAACGCCTCCCGTCTCTGCCTCGCCGGCTGCCAGGACTGGCGGCTCCTCCTCCGGGCAAGAAAATTCCTGACGGTCCCCAACAGCGCGCGGCCCGGCGGCTCCTCTCCCTGGCGCACAGCGGCTGCCCTGGCGTCCCAACCAGCCTGGGACCACGCTGGACAGGCAGGACTGTCCTCTCTCAGCCTGACCCCCTTCTCTGTCGACTGAGAAGAAAGGTCACGGTGGCCCCAGTCCTCAGCTCTCCTGGCCTCTCCCAGAGACTCCTGGGTGTCACCCGCAGTGTGCCCTCTGCCTGCAGAATCACCCGGGGTCCGCCCCCCGCCTGGTGGCCCAGCGCGCCTTCACTGAGCGAGATGGAGGAGCTGCGAGGCTGGCCGTGCTCCTGTCCGTCTGTGCGTGGGTTTCTGGGAGCGTCCACCTTGGGATTCGCGCTTTTGCTGCGTAATTGACATCAACAGCTTGTACGGAGCGTGTGGCGACCCGGCCCACCTGTGGCGCGGGCACCATTAGTTGAGGGTTTGGTGTCCCTGACACCTGCCCCTGGGGTCCAGTCTCCTGGAATTCAGGTCACGGGTGTGCAAGACCCTACCCATGCTGCCACATCCCCCAACTGCTCAGCACAGGAGAGAGCAGAGGGTTTTACTCTCCTTGCTTTTCTGATGTTTCCTCCGATTTCTCTGGTGGGAATAATATGTTTTTAATTGGAAATAAAAAGCAAGGTAGAAGGTTTGCTCGGGGTCAGCCATGTGCAGGTGTCCAGGCGGCACGCACATCCAGTTGCAGCCTTCGGGAGGGCGCGGTCGCTGCCTCGCCCAGCCTGTCTCAGAGTGGTGGCTTCTCTGTCCCTCTGTGGGGCCAGGGCTGTGGGTAGGTATCCTACCCTGAGCCGTGCAGGGTGGGCCCCTGCCCCCCACTCCGGAGCCTTCCCCACTGGCCCTCCGGGGCTCCTCCAGCGTCCTTCCCTGACCCTGCTGCTGCTGGGCCTGCTGGATTCCCCCAGGTGACACCTGTCATGTCCTCTGTCACCTCTGGGCCTCTCTGGCATCCATGGGGGGCTCATCCCCCTTGCTGCTCAGAGGAGATCGGCTGGGTGGCCAGAGGCCAGCACCTCCCCGACTTAGGTGCCCCCTCCCTGATCCGACCGGCTTTGGAAGCCCAGCCCAGGCACTGCTCAGGGCCTCCCTCGGTCCCTGCCCCCCGGCTGTGAGAGGGCCTCGAGAGAGCCCAGGAGGTTTCCGACTCCCTCAAACCACAGCGACCATGATGATAAGCCTGACTGGGCCACCTTCCCTCGGCCTGCGGGGACTGGAGTGCCCCTGTGCAAAGCGCACCCGGCTGGGCCCAGGCTCTCCAGGGCAGGGCTGTTGGCACCTGCAGAAGGTGGCACTCACAATGCCCGCTCCCCTCCGGCCAGTGAGGGAACAGAACATAGGTCCTGGTCCAGAGGCCCTCCGTGGTGGCCCAGCACCCATGGGGCCAGCTGCGGAAGCTCAGGCCTCGATGGGTGCTCAGTGGATGCCTGTAGGCAGAGCAGCTTCGTCGTCTCTCCGTGGAGTAGAACAACCACATTCACACAGCACACTCACTCACCTCCCCAGCTCACAGTCCCTCACGGTGCTTCCTGGCTGGGATTAATGAAGGGAGAGTGAGCCCTGCTCTCTCCTGAGAGCACAGAACCATCCATGGCTCCCAGCTCTTTGACACCTTTGATTCCGGAGAAAGCCTGCGTCGCTGTGTTTACTAACCCTGTGCCTCCCTTTCTGTAACTATTTAACCTAACTAAAGCTGTGGTTTTGAAGACATTGATTTCAAAGGAGAAGAAAATATTATTCCATTAAAGTCACTGAAAAATTGATCACCCAATTTCGGTGGCATCCCTGGGGTGGAGATGCTAACGGCTGTTCACGCTGGATCTCCATCCGCGCAGCTAAGCTCTTGAGTCTCTCCCAGGCTGACAGCTGCTCCCAGCCACACAGGACCAGGTGCCAAGGAGGACGGGCAGGAGGTGAAGCTGTGAGCTGGGGGTCCTGTGCACACCGTCTTCTGTGTCTTGGCCGACAAGCTTCTTGCTGTAGCCCACCCTGTAAAGCAAGCAGCTCCTTACTGAAGCCTTAAAGCACACTCCAACTGGCCTTCCAGGGACTCGGAGGTGGCAAAGGGCCCCAGAGGGTCTGCCCTGGGTGGGTTGGCTGGGCCTCCCCTCCCCTGAAGCTGCGCTGCTCTCCGGCTCCCGGACGGGGTTTCTTTCCACCCCTTCAAGCTGCCATCACCTGCTGGAATGTGGGCTTCTGCCCCTGACCTCAAGGCACCCTTGTCCTCCTGTGGCTCCTGAAGCGTGGGATGGACTGTGACCTTCCTCCCACAGGAAACCCCTGGGGAGGGTGGTGTGGCCCTGTGCTCGAGGTCCCACCCTCTGCTCTGACTCCTGGGGCCTTGGCACCAGGGGGCGGCTTCTCTCCCACCCGAGGGCACGCGGGCCTCTCCTGACACTCCTCCAGGGCTGGAGCTGGACCACACCCAGGACCCCTCGCCCCTCAGGGACACCCTCCCCTCAGCCCGGGAGCCCACTTGTTCCCCACGGAGGCCTGTGGCTCTGTCAGGGCATTTGGAAACCACCTGCAAGTGGGCATAGGGCGCTGTGGGCGTCTGGGCATGCTCCCTGCTCTGGCTTGATTTCACTGTGGACCCCAAGGCTCCGAGAGGTTCCAAGTCAGGTGTCCTGGGCAGTTCTGCCACGTGGGGGCCATCCGTCCCGTGACCCCTTGATGGGTCCCTTGCCTCCGTCCCGACCCCCAAGGCCACACCACAGGGCCGTGCCACAGGTCAGCCAGGCTGAGGAGAGCATTACCAGTCAAGCGCCTGCCCATCACGGGGCCCTGTGCCGATCCAGGCTCCGGCATGGAGTCTCCGGGCGCCTGGGGTCCTGATCCGCCGGGCAGACCTGGGGTCCCCTGCTGCTTGTTCCAAAGTCTCTGATTCTGTGAGTTCAGAATGTCTGATGAGAGACCCTGTCTCCTGAGTCTTGGGATCCTGTCCCTGGAGCCATCTCCTGGCAGTCTCTCTGTGGACTTGGAGAAGGATCAGGCCCTTCCTGGGCCGCGTGCCCTGAGGTCAGGGCTGGCACTGGATTTTTGTTCCATCAGATGAAACAAAAAGCAGAACTTCCTCAGACTGCCTTGGGCCGTGAGGACCTGCCTGTGCTTCCTGCCCGCTGTGCGGCCAGCCTCTGGGGGACGTGGACAGAGCGCTCGGGCTCCCTGGCTCTGAGCCTGTGCCCCTCAGCCTCACTCAGCACCCCCGGGCTGGGCCGGGAGCTCCGCCCTGGGCCTCCCTGAGGTGCGCCTGCAGGTGGAGGAGAGCCCTGCCGTTCCCAAGGCAGCCGAGCCTCACTTCTCCAAGCCTGAGGGCTGTTTCCCACGGTGTCTTCGAAGCCCAAGGAGGAAACACTTTCTCCCGAGGCTTGCTGAAGACACAGAGGCGTCAGGACAGCAAGTGGGACTGTCTTCCTGCTAGGGAGGCTCCCTAGGAGGGCCTGGCCCAGTGCGGTGAGCCACCCGGGGGCCACCCTGCGCAGGTGCAAGGCCAGGATGGGCTGGGTGCCCAGGAGTGACCGTACCTGCTGGCAGGAGTGTAGGCCGTAGGAGCCTATGTCCTCTCCAGAGGGTGACAGGCTGGGAGGGGTGACTGTGGTACTGACCCTTCCTGGCTGTGCATCTCCAGGCGAGCATCTGGATCTCTCTGGACTCTGTTCCTTGTCTGGAAATCGTGCTGGCCATAAGGCCCCCCTCAGGGGGTTGGTGGGAAGGGGAAATGAGTTGACGGGTGGGAACAGTGGCCCTGGCCTGAGCAGATGCTCAATCCATAATAGCAGGCGCGAAGGTGACACTCACCACCGGTGGGACAGTCGAGGGTGACATTCACAAGGACACACTTGTGCACATCAAGCAGCAGGTACTTCGTAAGCCCAGAGTCACAGGTTACTTTTTTACCCCCTGATTTACTGTCTTGTCAAGGGAGGCCTCTGAGTTCTCGAGGCTGGTGCGACGCCCCAGGGCTCCTCCGTGTTCTGTGGCTCTCAGGGTCTGCTCAGAGCCTGTACCCACAGGCCAGCAGTCTCCCACGGCACCAAGATCTCCTCTCTTGGCACTGTCTGGGAGACCAGGAGCAGGGTGCTGGAGGCACCACAGGCTCCTGGGACCTGGGTGTGGCCACCACACAGTCTGAGCCCCTCTCCTCTGTGCTCGGGTGGGGACCAGCGTCCAGCTGCCTCTCCCAGGCGATCGGCATGACTGACAACTTGAACAGAAACTCTGTCAAATGAAATCCTTTCCTGGGGCCGCACAAGAAGAGGAAGAGAAGGAAAGGGCCCGCCCTAGGTGGAGGGTCCCGGCTGCTCCCCAGGTCTCCCCAGCAGACGCGACCATCAGGCCTCACTAGCAGCACTGTCCCGAGACCTGTGTCCTGCTGGTGTGGAGATAGCTCCAGCCCACCTTGGAGTGAGCACGGGGCTGGGCCGACGTCCAGACAGCTACACAGCATCTGCCCCTCACTGTCCTGGCAGCCAGCCTGTCACGGAGGCTCTGCCTGTGACACCCCACCAGGCCTCTGGGACACACGACGCACTTCTGACCTGCAGTTAGCCCGCCAGAGCCCAGGTGCCCAAGCCAGGCCACCACCCCTGGGCTCGGCTCCCATCTGGAGACCCTGGGGAGAGTCCACTTCTCCTCACCAGGCTGTGCCAAATCCGGTTGGTCAAACTGGTGGTGGTCAGTTCCAGGGTCAACCTGGCTGGGCGTGATGCCAAGACATCGGGCCAACACCTTTCCTGATGTTGTCATGAAGTAAGCCAGCCAGCCAGTCCCGCGAGGGACTCCAGACTTCCCTGGGTGACCACAGGCAGACCAGTTGACCTCTGAGCCTTGGTTTTACCAACCGCAAACAGGGGCACTGCTAGGACACGCCTCCCAGGCTTGTTCGAGGACTGAGACACCGAAATGGTCATCGCAGCTTGTTCTGAAGATTCTACGGGTCGCTGCCTGGCCAGCTGGTTCTGGGCCCACAGAAGCATGACCTGTGCATGCCAGAGTACCACCAGGGGCCTCGGAGCCCAGAGCTGAGTGGCACCGCACACCTCCTGTGGGCCGCGTGGCCAGGCCAGGCCTTCTTTGAAGGCCTTTGGCTCTTGTGTTTGGGCTCCCTGAGTGCCGCAGTCTGGCTGGGCACAAATGCCGCAGTCTGGCTGGGCACACAATCACGAGCCACCACACAGCTTGTAGATTCAAACAGCAACTCTTTATTCCCGAACTCACACCAGCCGTCTACAATCACGTTCTGGGGAAATCCACGTTCTCTGCCCAAATCCACCTCCACTGGGCTTCTATCTCCAAAAAATATACTGTCTGAATCCCGTGAGAACTCAAGGGGAACTCAGGCAGCAGGATACGCCCTATTCCCAGCAGGAATAATCTTAAACCTTAAACCTGGAACCTAAACTGGGAACGCCCTAAACAAGATTATCTTAAAACCGGGAACACCCTAATCTGCCTAGGTCCTTGAGCAAGGTCACTTACATTCAATGTCACTGCAACATGGGGTACGCTGGCAAGGAAATTGTCATACCTACTTGGCTAATGGCTCCCAGCACCTGAGTGTCATCCTCACCCCACTCACGAAATCCTGCTGGGGGAGGGACAAGCTTGTGTGCAAGTCAGGAGACTCTGGAGGCAAAGGACAGAAATAAACCCAAACCAGCTTAAGCAAAAACATGACTTTATTGGCTGACGTAATGGAGAGAACTTGGAGTTGGATGCAGGACTCAGGCACGGCTGCATCCAGGGGCTCAACCGTTTCCCAGGACTCAGCCTCCCTGGTTGGTGATTCTGCTTTGGGTGACAGAGGCTTGAGCTTCCTGGTGGCAGGAACAGCCCCAGGTGTTTCCTTCTCTGGTGAAAAGAAAGTGCCTGCTTCTCAGTGGTCCTGGAAGCTCCCGCCCAGGACTCGGCCATCACTGAGCCCCACTCCTGCCTTCAGGAGGGCCTTGTCTAGGTGACAGCTCAGTTTTAGGGCGAGCGTGGGAGCAGAGAGTGGGTCTGTCTGTTGACGAACAGAGGCCGAGGGTGCGAAGGGGCAGAGTCCCCCAGACAAACAAAGACGCTCTCTCCAAAAAGTGGTGTCCCAGCAGTGGCAGGGGGCACGCCCAGCAGGTCTAGGAAGTGGTGTGGTCACGTCAGGGGGACTCACAGTGGGCTTCGAGCCCTGAAGGCCACAGAGGACGAGCTGAGACCCCAGAGAGAAGATGCAGGGCCGCTGGGCAGAGAAGCAGCCACGGCCTGGGAGTGGGAGAGGGGTCAGCCCGCGTGCCTCCCGCCCTGCTCGCTGAGCCACCAGGGTACAGGCCTGGCGTGAGGGGCATCTGGAACAGCCTGCACACAGGGAGCCCTAGGACACCTCTGAGGACACAGGACTGAAGTGGAGTGGTCAGGACGCCCGACCTGGACTGCGGCTCTCCTAACCTGGGGTGCGCCCACCAGGTCCTGGTGAAGACCCCGAGGAGCTCTTCCTTTAGACAGAGCTGCAGTCGACACCAAAGTCTGTGTGGAGACATGAACCGCCAGAGTGGCCAGGAAGAGCCACAGGGGAGGCGCGGGGGCAGGCGGGGCAGCCCTGCGCCTTCTCAGATCAAGGCTGCCGTCCCCCACGTCCCCCGCGCCCCCCACGTCCAGGCCACTTTTAAAGCCCGAGAAGCACAGAGACAAGAGCAGGCTTTAGTCCCACGGGCCAAGGGCCCGCCTCCCCGCAGCTGGTGATAAATGGCTCTCGCTGTGGCTGCCCGCGCGCTCCCCACCATGAGCTGGTTGGTTCCTGTCCTGTGTCCAGGGGCAGTTCCAGGCCTCCTGGGATCCTGGGTCCTGAGTTTGTTTGTTTTTCCATATGATTTCCAGGATGTTTCCGCAGGTGGAAAACAAGGCCCAAGAGTGCAGGAGGTGAGCTGTGGTGGGAGAGGAGGGGACGGGAAGGGCCCAGCCTCCAGAGAGCAGGACACGCTGGGGACAGCCGCTCTCCAGGGAGCACCGCCGCGCTCCCTGACCCTTGGAAGATGTTAATGTTCTACCAAGTAAATTAAATTAAAGTAACGAGCATGAGAAAGAGGGAGAAGGAAACGGAAAGAAGAGCCGCTGTGTGTCAAGTGAGGAAGGAGCCAAGGGAGTTCAAAGGACGGTCCTGGCCTCTCAGAACGGCGTGGCTTCCACCTGGGAAGGGACAGTGGGATCGTGTCCTCTAGCAGGGCGTGTGGGTGGACAGAACCATCCTATAGTTTTCGCAGGTATATTTGGGGTCTGTGCAAGTGCACAACGTGTCCACGCAGTTGGAAGAAGAGAGACCGCTATGGAAGGCAGAGGGCCAGGGGGACGGTGGGGGATCTCCAACAAGGACACGTGCGTGCGTGTGTGCACACTCGTGTGCATGTGTATGAGCACACAGCTGTGCTCCGTGGGCCTGGGTGCATGCAGGTGTCTGGGCTATCTCCTAGACCTGTCCACTGAGAGGCTCGAACCTTGTCTTTGACCTTGGCACATAGAACTCAGTTTCTCAAACACTCCCACTAAAAGGAGCCCTGGCTCCTGGGAGAAATAAGTGATTTTAGGGCTGGGGCAAGAAAAGTACAAAATTAGACTGGAACATCTTGTTATGCCAGAAAGTAAGAAAGTGCTCAAAAAAAAAAAAAAAAGAGTGGCATGTCACAAAGACTCAGGAGCCAGCTTGAAGGGGCTCCTTGGCCAAACATGGAACAACTGAGCACCAAGATAATGAAGCACAGCGGTGAGTTATAAATCACTGAAAACAGGGATTCAAAGTACAGGCTAGAAATAGATCATGGATGATAGATTGATAGATGATAGGTAGATGATAGGCACGGACAGATAGATATACAGATAGATGAGACAGATGGATGATAGATGATGGGTGAGGACTGACGACGGATAAGTGGATATATAGATGAATGGTATGTGGAGGGAAGGGCGAGCGGCTAATGGATGGGTAGATGGGTGGATGGATGATGGATGAATGGATGGTGGATGAATGGGTGGATGAATGATGGAGGGATGGATGATATATGGAGGAAGGGAGGGATGAATGGGAGGATGGAGGGATAGATGGATGGATGATGGAGGGATGGATGATAAGTAGAGGGAGGGAGGGATGGATGGGTGGATGGAGGGATGGATGGATGATGGATGGAGAAAAGGAAGAATGGATGGGTGGATGGAGGGATAGATGGATGGATGATGGAGGGATGGATGATAAGTAGAGGGAGGGAGGGATGGATGGGTGGATGGAGGGATGGATGGATGATGGATGGAGAAAAGGAAGAATGGATGGGTGGATGGAGGGATAGATGGATGGATGATGGAGGGATGGATGATAAGTGGAGGGAGGGAGGGATGGATGGGTGGATGGAGGGATGGATGGATGATAAATGGAGGAAAGGAGGGATAAATGGTTGGATGGAGGGATGGATGATGGATGGAAGGTGAATTGATAGATGGGTAGATGATAAATGGAGGGAGGGGTGGATGCATGCATGAATAATAGTTGGGTATATGGTGGCTGGGTGATTGATGGGAGACAGGTGAGATGGAAGGCCGTAGTTTCAGCAGGATGCCCAGATAGTGCTGGGTAGAGGAGAGTCATGAAAGATGCCGGACCTGGGGGAGTTTGTGATGAGGAGCAGATGTGCTCTGTGTCTTACAGTGTCTCCTCCAAGAATGTTTATGTTTCCAGAAAATAAAAAGTAATTGTAGTGCAGATAAATCGGACAACTCCTGACCAACTTCTCAAAAATACGAGCAGCAGGAGGTCGGAAGGACACTGTGTGCCCGGGAGAGACAGGAAGAGTGTGGAATGCAGCTGAGAATGCGTCTCCTTGGCCCCCCAGGGGCAACACGGACAAACCCAAATGAGGGCCGCCCAAGGGAAGAGGGCACTGTGTTCTTCAAAAGTGTCTGCAACATAAAAGACAAAGACAGTCTGTGAAAAAGTTCCAGAGGAAAGAAAATCAGAGACAAGTGCTGCAGTGCTTGACCCTGGAGCAGCCTGTGTCGGGAAGAAAGCTGGAGAGGAAGCCGGCGGCAAGATGGCGGCTCCACCCAAGGCAGATCCCACCCCCTTGGGGTCCAGCACGTCACCGAGGGCATGAAAGAGGTGCCCTCTGCTTCCTGGAGGGTAAAGGACTGTGAGCTCTGCCACTTAATCTTAATGGTTCTGAAAAAGAGTCACACACAAAGAGAGAGAGAGACAGAGAGAGACAGAGACAGAGAGAGACAGAGAAAGAGACAGACACAGAGACAGACAGAGACAGAGAGGGAAAGAGCCAGAGAGACAGAGACAGAGAGAGACAGAGAGAGAGAGAGAGAGAGAGAGAGAGAGAGAGAGAGAGAGAGAGAGAGAGAGAGAGAGCGTGCACGCGCAAGTGAGCAAAAGGTGATGGACGGGGTAGAAGGTATAAGTAAAAGGTGTCTGGTGTTTATTTTTGTAGCTTTCCATAGCTTGAAGCTATTCCTAAACAAAATGTTTTTTAAAACCAACAAAAGCCCTGGGGTCCACACAGCGTGGAGCAGACCTGGTCCCGGCAAACCTCTGCTGTCCGCAGAATCTCGTAGGGCAGCCAGCACATGTCCCACTGTGCCTCTCCAGAACCCTGGGAGGCACAGGGCCAGCTGCGCAGGCACAGGGGGTAACAGGGGGGATGATCTGCGGAGAGGACACACCCCTGTGCGGGCGCTGAGCAGCCTCCCCGGCCTGTGGGAGCTCCACAGCAGTTCAGAGGACCGACGATGGGCAGAATCCACGTTCCGTAAACTGCCTCCCTGAGACTGCCAGGTTGTGGAGGGGTCGTCAGACCTATTTTGGAAGAAGTGAAATCAGATGATTACAATCTCTGGAATTCTAGAGCAGTTTCTCTGCCGAGGTCCTCGGCCCATGTGGGTCAGCATCCTGGCAGCTCAGTCAGAATGCACACTCCCGGCCACCGGCCCGAGGCTCTCAGAGCTGGGGACCTGGGGGGTGGCAGGGGCTGCCAGGCAGACAGAGGTGTGGAGAGCATGAAGAGGCAGGCGCCCAGCCCGGCCCTGTGTGGCTGGATCCGTGCACAGAGCATCCCCAAGGAGCCTGGCCATGGGCACAGAGCCACGGGGCCGCGGTCGCTCACACTAACCATTCCCTGCTTTCTCTGTGGGACAGCTCAGGAGCTGTCCCCTGTCCCACAGGCACCCGGGCCCTTGGCAGCCCTGCTGAGGCTGGACAGGGGCTGTCAGTGAGGCCAGAACCAGAGCGCACTGGAGCCAGGAGAGCGTCACCTGGCCCTCGCCTCTTAAAGAATTGTTAATTGTAACAAAATATGTGCAACACAAAATCTCACGCCCCTTCTGGTCAGCAGTGAGCACATGCGCATTGCTGTAAGGCCATCGTCCCATCCTCCCCAGAACTGTCTGCCTTCCACCTGCACCCCTGGCAATCAGCATGCCATTCTCTTACTGTGGACCCCAACAGTACTGACCCTTTAAAGGCAACTGGCCTATTTCACCCAGCATCATGTCCTCAAGGTCCTTCCCTGTGGTCATGTATCCTTCTCTACTTTTTTAAAAGTGGGATTGCTGGATATGACAGCAAATCTATTTTCAAGTTGTGTGTGTGCGTGCATGTGTGTGCATGTGCTTGTGTGTGCGTGCCCAAGGTGCTGGGCGGGAACCCAGGCCTCGTGCACCCTGGACACGCCCTCTCAGAGACAAACCCATTCCTTTTGACTTTCTTGAGGAAGCTCAGCGTGCTCTCCACGTGGCCTGAGCCGTTGGACGCTCTGGCAGGGTGTGCACGGGCTCCAGCCTCCTAAGTCCTCCTGAAGTTACTTTCTTTCCTTACATCATTCCTTGTGAGTCAAGTAGAATTCAACAAAATCCTTCTTAAGTAGTTGCTGTTGATTTAAACCCAGGAGGAAAATTAGGGACTATTGATCCGCCCCATCTTTGAACAGACAGGGAAACTGAGATACAGACCTGCTCTAGCTGTTGCTGAGAGGCAAACAGGGAAGCAGATGTCCCCTGTCACCCCCACTGATGCCGTCTCATCTTGCACCTGGCCCAGGCAGTCATGTGCTCAGCGTGGGGATCCGTGGGTCCCCGCTGTAGCCGCTCAGCTCCACCCCGTCCCAGGAGGACAGCCAGAGGCCATATGCACTGCTGTGTCCAATAAACCCTTACTTAAGCACCAGCAGCAGCCCCGTGCTGCCCACTCCTGTTCTAGAACATTCATTGAACAAGCAATCCATGCGACCTGCGGTATGCTGGGCACCACGCTAGGTGCTCAGACCCGGGAAGCTGAGAGCTCTGGGTCTCCAGGGGCTGGAGCTGGGGGGAGGGACAGGACTCAGGGATCCTCAGGCCCATTGTGCGGTTGGCGAGGTCCTCACAACACTGCCACATGGCATCGTTCCTGTGGGGGGACGGAGACACGGAAGCACCTGCCCCAGGTCATCAGGCGGGCTGGCGGCAGGCTTGGTGGCACCTTGTCCTGGGGCTGCCCTGTAGCTTCCCAGCATAGGGGCCTGGGCACTGGCCTTCCGGATGGGTACAGAGAGGGAGGGTGGGCCACGGGCCCAGGGTCTTTCCACAGGGAAGGCAGGATGGGAGAGTGCTCCCAGTTCCAGGAGGGAGGGTGGGACTCAGGGCCAGGTGGAGGTGGGAGGCCTCGGGCTCTGACCTGGGACTCTAGGAGGAAAGGCCCAGGTTGACCCAGCCTTCCAAGTCTCTTTGGAAGAGTGGGAGAAACAACTTCCCCTGGCCTCCAGGGCCTGGTCTTCCCAAGGCAAAAGACAGAATGACGGACGGACGTGGTCAGCTCCTCATTCCCTTCCCCCTCTGGTCTTCCGCACCACCCTCTTGGTCTCTGTCCGTCACGGCTGCCCCTCCACAGGTCTTGCTGGTTCTGCTTTAGCATATCTGTGGCTGCTTCATAGCAGGTTGTGTTGGTCACTCTGGACCCCGGAGGGCCGCTTCCTGGTGTTCAGTGACCTTTGTGTCTCGGAGCTGTCAGGTTGGGTTTGCGGCAGTGCTTACTCCTGAAGGCTGGGGACTTGCAGACCAGCAGGGACAGCTCCCAAGGGATGTGCTGGGTCTGCTTTCAGGACAGGGCTATGGCCATGTGTGCACGTCGTAGGACTGTTAGAGACGGAGGGCACACTGGTGCCCCTGTTGGCTCCTGAGAGGAGTGCTTCCTATCCCCAAGTGTGGTCCCCTGGGCTCCCCATTCACTCCCCCACCTGGAATCCAATCATTGTGCTGGTTCGTGTTCCCAGGGGCAGGAGGCGCATGGGGGGTCGGCAAGGCATGTCCTGGGGCCCTGAGCTGGGCTCCGGGCCCCCACACTGAGGGAGAGGACTCAGGTGCCCTCTGTGGTGAGTGCCCCAGGTGCTGTGAGCCCCTTAGGAAGAGCAGGACTCTGTCCCCGTGTCTCAGCTGTCTGTGACGATGGTCCCCTGCAGCACTCTGTAAGCCTCTGGAAAGTGGCTTTGCCATCTGAGACGCACCCTTCCTTTCCTGGCCACCGAACACGGATGTGATTTCAGTTCCCTGAAACTCCACTTACCCCGACAAGACAAGCACGTCCCGAGGGTGTCCGACCTGTTTCCTGTCACAGGGTCCCCAGCATGGCAGGCTGCACCCCTGGTGCTTGAGGTGGGGCAGGAGGTGAGGTAGGTACCTGTTAACTCCTGGAGCAGAGATTCGGGTGGGGAGGTGCTGGGGAGACGTCAGGGCTGCCTGCCTTGTGCCCCTTGGTGGAACCCATGCTATGCTTTGTGGCCGTGTGCATCTGGAGGCCAGTCGCTGCCCTTGACCACCTCTCAAGAGGGCAGCTGGGTGCCAGGTGCCTGGGCAGGTGCCCTCCAACCCCCAGTGGGGGAGGGTGCTCTTCTCACCTCACCTCCTCCTGAGAGTCTGCAGAAGGGAGCTTTCCCAGGCCGTTCGCCTCTGTCCCGAGCCACGGCGCTGAGGAGACCGGGCCGGCTGGCATGGGACGGGCCTGATGCCTCTCCCACGCTGAAGCCGTGAGGACAGACCTACCAGTGTGCCCGGACAGGGGACCCTCGTGGGACAGCAGCTGCTCCTCCTGACCCACGCACTGCGTACTTCCAGAGCGGCCCCACCTTTCACGTGGAATGAGGCGCTGCAGGCAAGGAACCCGGCAGAGCCAGGACTCCCTGCGAGCAGGACCTGCTCCTCCGCAGCAGCTGAGTCTGGACGTGTCGGTGGCCTCCTCCGGGCCCCCAGGAGCACTTCCTACTGAAGACCCGATTTGAAGGGGATGTTCCCCACCAGGCGTTCCCAGGAGCAAGTGTCAAGCACACATCCCGGGCAGGGAGCCTCATTCCTGGAAATGGGTTGCAGCTGGAAGGGGGCCACCCCGTGCCATCACCAAGGCCCCTGACCTAGTCTGGGTAACTGCTCCTGGACACTGTCCCCTCCGAAGCTCAGACAGGGCTCAAGGCTGCCCTCCACACGCGCGCGCACACACACACACACACAGATTCACACTCAAGCGCGCGCACTTGGATGAAACCAGACAGGCAGGCCTACCAGGCACAGCCCCTGCACAGCCGTGGCACAGTAAGGCCCTGGGCAGGAGCCCCGCCCCGCACACAGTGGACCCCGGCCAGCCTGAGGTTTTGATATACTGCACCCCACCCCCCACTAGGCTGGGCACCCACTGGCATGCCCATCCGCGTGCGGCACAGGTGAGCAGGCGGTGTGCACAGTGAGGGCTTGGAGTCACGAGGCAGCCGCCACCTGATGCAGCTTGGACAGGAACACGCCCTCACCCAGTGCTGCCTGGGATCGTCCTCGGCTCACGAGGTCTTTCCAACTAGAGGGAGCACCTGTGGGGCGCCTACTGTGCGCCAGGCTTGGCAGCCCCACAGGCCTCCAGCTGCCCCATCGCAGGTGGGCCAGCCCGGGGGGCAGGAGAGTCTCAGTGTCCTGCTGCACGCCCCAGCCCCCCTGCTGGTCTATGTTCCACTCTGACTGCCCTTCCTGGTCCTCAGCTCCACGGCACAGGTCAGCAGGGACCAGCTCAGTGGGCGACCTTGGAGGGCTATCAGGTCACGGAGGTCCAGGCTAGCATGGGTCCCCCCAGAGGTCCTGCTGTAATCAGGGCCAGAGCCAAGGTCTCCCTGGCACCCCAGGCCCCTCTAATTGAATAAATATTCTCTGTCGAGTGCCCGACTACATGGTTTCCATGGATACCCACTTCTAATGGCATAATGAGGCAAGGGCATGGGCTCTCCAAAGCCTGCATGGGTGCACCCCATCCCGAGGAATCTCTCTGTAGACGTTGAGACTGAGCGGCCCGTGGGTCCTGGGCTGGATAGTGACCAGGCAGAATCAGTTCCTGCCACACCTGGCTTTGACACTGGGTGAACCCCCACCAAGGCTGGCCTCTCACAGGGACCAGCCTCCAGTGCTGGCCTGGACGCCGTCCACCCTGCCTCCCTTCCACATGCCAAGCAGGGAACATGGCCCTTGGCCCCTGCTGAGACTGCCCTGGGCACCCTCCAGAGCCACGTCCTCTGTGTGTGCGGTCCACTCAGCCCTGCCCATTGGAAACCTTTTAAAAGGGCTCTTGCCATGTGCTACCCTGTCCTTTTCCCTGGTCTGGCTTTGCAACTCTGTCTAGCTGGTCTCTGACTCCCTGCTCATTTCCCAGCTAAACACAGAATGTGGACCTTTGCTCAGAGCAGGGGACACCACGGATCGCACCACTCACCTTCCCACCCTTGGCCAAGGGCCGTCCACCCCAGGCCTCACATTAGCGCTCCTCACTGGCGCGGACCCACAGAGACCTGATGGGGA